GGTCCTTATTGTTTATGGTCCCCTATAGAACCATTGTCTGCACCAAATAACCCTTGAAGAACCATCTTTTTTCAGAATGTAGGCTTTTTCTCTTGAGTATATGTTTTCTGCTTGTTTGTTTGTCTGTTTTGACTGTAAAATGTACTGAAAGGTGGTCTCTGACTGTACACACTGTACCGTGTATGGTAGGAGTTTCTGATAAACAGTGCCGAATGACTGTTTACAGTCCTGAATCCACTCTTACAGTTTTATTCGGGCCCAGCTGGACTTATATAAACACTGTAGGTGTCAACGCCGGAGAGTTGTTTTTTTTTCACTCTACATCTCTTCCTGGAGAAAAGTGACTTTCTCAATCGACTGGACTCGACCTCTGAAGTTTGAGGGAAAAGATGTGTGTTTGTTTGTTTCTTTTTTCCTCTCAACCCACCTCCCTTCCATTTCATCCTCTCTCACCATCCTCTCTTCCTCCACATGCTTTTAATGGCCACCCGGCGTTTGGGGCAGTGACACTCTCTTTGTGGAAGTCAGACAGTTTTTCTCGGAGAGGCTAACCCTTCGGTAATTGTGTTTATCTGACTGAAACTCGGTCCGTCTCGCCGGGGAAAGCGAACGCGCGAGTGTATGATGGAGATTGCTGACCTCCAGGCCACACGGTGACCCTTCTTATGTGTCTTTTTTTCAGTTTTAGGAGACACAAGACTGAGGATAACGTGTAGCAGGCCTTACCTGCTTTCATACACACACACACACACACACATGACCACACTGGATTATTTTAGTTGCGCAGTAGCTGGGTAACGTGTTGAGCTTTTTATAGGTCATCCGTTAAAAGTGTGCGCAGGCTTGTCGGCTGTGCCTTCTGACCCGCTGCTTTTATTCACACCAAAAATAGATGGATACTGCAACCATGGTCAAACGTTCAGATTAGAAAAGCAACCAGTGATGCATTTACAACCTTTATGGTACCTGAACACGCTACACTTCCCAGTTCCTCGGTTTCTATGACTGTGGTTTAGCAGTGAAGGGCTAAATGCGTGAGAACCAGAAGGCCAGAAAAAGCAACACTGACCTGCAGTCCTGCCCTCAGCTTTGACCACTTTGGTCTGAAACTGACAGATTGTGTTTCAAAAGCTGCTGAAATTCCTGCCAGAGTTGCAGGACTTCGTGCCAGTGAAAATGTGAGCAGAGTAAAGGAGACGTCCATCACTGAGTAGCAGCATTTAATCTAACTGGTAAATAGCTACATAGAAAACAACAGAAAATTAGTTCTTATTGAAAACCTCTTAAACCCTTAGGGCCAGTATGCTGGCCCACACTGTGGTTTCACATGTTTACATTGTTGTTATGGAATAATTCTTTTACATTACAGAATAAAGGAGCATTCAGATGATGCCTTTTCAAACTCTCACAAGCGCAATACTTTTCACTGAAATGCACTAGCCTTCGTGTTTAACCCGTCTCACAGCAGCCAAAACAAGCAATTTCTTCCTGTTTTGGGGGTCTTTCATGCAGTGTGCATATTTGCTTTAAACACATTGATGCAATGTATGATGGAAATGGGTATAATTACAGAACTATGCAAAAAAAGTATATTTTTTATTGTGCTATTTTGTGGAGAGGTGTGAATTGTTTTCACAATTGTTCTCACTCTTCCTCTTTCACCCCTCATTGCTCGCTAGCAACATAATGAGTGCGTTTACATGCACTCAATAATCCGATCATAATCGGATTTCTGCAGTTATCTGATTATTCAAATGGTCATGTAAACAGCACACTGATTTCTTAGATCAGAATAAGGTCTAGAAATCTGATTAAGTAATCCAATTAAGAGAGCTAGATTAGAATCAGATTTAAACTCTTACTCTGATTTCTTTCAGGTTTCTCAGTCTGCGCATGTGCGAAGAACAGGCCGCAGTACCGGAAGTAAGCGAGCAGCGTCGCCGCGAGACACAACAAAACACTTTTGAAGCGACGCTGAAACCAATACATGCTTAAAGAGATGAAGGATTTAAATATTCTTCATCTTCTAGATGACGTATGTTCATGTTCAGCTGAAGAAAAAAGCCGCGGCATGAAGTTTGAGTTTTACATTACGTTTACGTCACATATTTTTCTGTGAGTTTACTGGCCAGTTGCACGGCAGAAATCTGATTACTGTCTGACTCATGTAGACCCGAGTTTCCCCATTATCTGATTGCTCAAATGCATGCAAACATGTTGATCGGATCACTGACAAATCTGATTTTTTGCAGTTATCAGATTATTAAGTGCATGTAAACGCACTCACAGAGAGCCAACAGTGTCCTAGTTAATCTGATAACAGAGTTATGGGGGAAGATGTTTTATTATTTATATTAATTAAAAATATACTGGTCACTAAGAGGAGCTGTGAAAGAGGCTACACTGCATGTTTGAGTTAAATCTATCAAATTTTCTAATCAACATGGATGATGTCTTCTCTTTAGTCCATCATCCAAACTGGAGGAAGATCTTTTTGAACCGTAGGAGCTGTACAGCACTCCGCACAAAGATGACTACAATCTAAATGTAAAAAGGATTTTGAGTTATTATTATTATTATTATTATTATTATTATTTTATTATATATGTTATTTTCTAAATGTTCTAAATGCTCTACTGTTTACCCACTTGTCAATCAAATGCTCAGAACTGCACCCTAAGAAACACATCCTTCTTCTTTATAAGCGCGAGATGCATCACCTGTTTAAAAAGGCATTAATACCCCCTAATAATTCTTTATTAATTCTTTTTTTAAAATTCATAATCAGTCTTTATTATAATTGGGTTCAAAATAGTAACAAAAATAGGGATGTTTTAAAATATATTTATCATGTAAAACACATATTGGACACTGCTACTTACTGAATTATGATTCGGATAAGTTTGCCTACAATAATGACCAATAATACTACCAATAATACTAACAATACTAATACTAAATAACAATAATAATAATAATAATAATAAGAAGAAGAAGAAGAAGAAGAAGAAGAAGAAGAAGAAAAAGAAGAAGTGGGCACTTCTGAATGTCGTCTACCACTTCACCCCTACAGACACACTCATGATCTCTATGTAAAATATTAGAAAGCTTCAATAAGTGGAGTGTAGTAATAAATATACAGTCAAAGTAGTTCAGATTACTGTAGTGATCACTGAGCTTCAATACCCTCATTAACTGCATTTAACTGGGCTCATCATTAAAACAATTATTTCATTTAGGCCTCAGTTTAATGATATGTGCTGTATTATTATTATTATTATTATTATTATTATTATTATTATTATTATAACTATAACTCTCCTCTCTTTAAGAACTGAGGGAAGCCCTTTAGACATCACTTACACAGAGAGTGGTGTTATGACATTAAGAGTTGCTTTAATAACTATAATAACTGTGTTAAATGATTGATTAATAACTGTCTTGTTTCTGTGAAGCTGTGTTTTCTCTCGTGTTACTTTCACAGCGATCAGATGGAGGAGTGGGATGCAGTTGGAGGAGCAGGAAGGGCTGAAATGTGGAGAGAAAAGCATGTGCTGACAGTGTGGCGACGCTCCTAATGATGAATTAATAATAATAAAGGCGCTCCAGGCTGTACATACGGCAAAACCCTCAGAGCGCAGGAGCGAAAATCCCAACCCCGGGAATACCGGCTGAGTACGGAGGCTGATGAAGAGCGCAGAGTAACGAGGCTCGTCAAGCCCATCACACACACATACAGACATACATACATACATACATACATACAGAGAGACATACATACAAACACCCCCCTGTACCGAAACTGTGTAGAGTTTTAAGCAGAAACCCATTCGGACCCTTTTCTACTCTGCGCTGGTGAGAAACAGAGCCGCACTCCGCTTCACTTCTCTCTGTGTGAGCATCTGCTCTCTACAGCCCTCAGCAGCAACGGAGCGGAGAAAAGAAAAAAGAAAAAAGAGACACAGACAGGAGCGCATGTACGAGAAGAGGCTATGATCACTAATGAAATAAAGAGAAACTCTCAGGGGAGAGAGAGAGAGAGAGAGAGAGAGAGAGAGAGAGAGAGAGAGAGTGTAAATGTATGTCAGAAAAGAGAGGGATAGACAACAAATGAGAGAGAAGAGAGATAAACAAAAAGAGAGAACGAGGAGGAAAAAAGATGGAATGTATAAGTAAAAAGAAAGAAAAGGAGTGAAAAGCAAAAAGAAAGAAAAGGAGCGAGACTGAAAAGAAAAGAGAACAATGAGAGAAAAAAGAAGTAAGAAGCAGCATCATAGAAAGACAAACAAAAAAGTAAGACAAAAAAAACAGAAGTAAACAGAAAGAAAAAGACAGAAACAGATATAGAAGAGAAAGAGGAACAACGTGAAAGAAAGAAAGAAAGAAAGAAAGAAAGAAAGAAAGAGGAAAGAGAGGAAACAAACATAAGAGTAGAAAGGAAAAGAAAGAAACAGATGAGAAGAGAAAGAGAGAAGGAAAGACGGTAAGAACCTCAGAGAAAGAGAGACCAAAAAGCAGGATAAAAGAAAAAGGGAATACAAACAGTAATACAGAGAAAGAAAAAAGAAGAAAAGAGACAAAGTAAGAAAGAATGAAAGAAAGAACCTCAACGAAAGAGAGACAAGAAAGAAGAAAGATAAAGAGCACACAAATGTAAGAGTAGAGAGGAAAAGAAAGAAACAGATGAGAAGAGAATGATAGAAAGAAAGAAGGCAAGAGAGAAAAAAGACAAGAACCTCAGAGAGAGACAAAAAAGAAGGAAAGGAAGATGAAAGACAGAATACAAACAGTAATATAGAGAAAGAAAGAGAAAAATTAAGAAAGAATGGAAGAAAGAAAAGGAGAAAGAACGCTAGAGAAAGAAAGACTGAGGAGTAAAGGGGATCACACTGACTGCTGCAGCTGGACCCGTGTGTGAAGCTCAAACCGACCAGCAGAAGTTTTTTCTTTGAGCCCAAACTAAAAGCCTCTGATCTGGACACACGCCTGGTCTGCCTCACCTGTCCGTTCTTGCACAAGTCGGCCCACATGCTGGTGCCGTCGCCGCCTCTCATCAGGACGTGGTAGATGAAGAAGTAGGTGCCCGGCACGCTGCAGATGAACTTCCCGGAGACGCCGTCGTAGTTGTTGCCGAGGTTGGTGACCACGTCGTCGAACTTGAGGATCTCGTAGCCCTCGTGGGGGTTTTTGAGTCCGGCGTAGAAGGCCACTCGCGGCTGTGTGTTGTAGGTGACCGTGCTGATAGCTCCGTTGCTTCCAGACCCCATGACGCTCCGACCCCGGTCCCCTCGGTCCCCCGGGGGCCCCATCGGACCCGGTGGGCCTGGCTCTCCGGGAGGTCCCGGAGGTCCCGGGGGTCCCGGTTTGCCCGGCCGTCCCGGCTTCCCCTGCGGCCCCTGGACGAGCGTGGAGGGCGGGAGCAGGTTGGTGCTGCTGTGGTCGGCCGCCAGCGCCTCGGCCTCGGCCTGAGCGGAGGAAGATGAGCCTGTGCTGGCGGTTCCCGTGGCGACGGCGGCGCCCCCTTTGCTCAGGTAAGGGTCACACACCATGCGGCACGTGCCAAGCATCTCATAGTGGCCGCTGCTGCTGCCGTCGGCGCCCACGGAGCTGACCAGCACTGGGATGAGCACCACCAGCACCAGGACCAGCATGACCCCGACAGCGGCCGCCACCAGGGTCTTCCTGCCCAGGCTGAGGCGCGGCAGCGGCTGGGCGGCCAGGGTGGGTCTGCCGGGGGCCGAAATTTTGACTGCTGGACGGGGCAGGGGGGTCTGAAGACTGAGAGACAGTCCGGGTGGGTGGAAGGTGGGTGGATGACCAAAGGAAAAACTCTTAAGTTCCTCGCTGGATGGACTGCAAAAGGAATGTGAATGAAAAAGACAGTCTGGATGGGAGACGGACGGGAAACGCTCCTCGCTGGACGACTGCTGGAGAAAGAGACAGTCTTGGAAGGTGGTCTGACGGTCAGAAGCTCTAAGATCCTTGCTGGACGACTGCTGGAGAAGGAGATAATGAAAAATACAGGTGCATGCTGTACAGAGTGAATGGATGGATGGACTGAAAAAGAAAAATTCTAAAATCCCTACTGAACGGCTGCTGGAGAGATGGAGAAGACGAGTGAAGTGAAGAAGCTCTAGGTTCCCGAGAAGTGTGCTGAGGAGTGCGTGAGGGGGAGAGCGACGCACACACACACAAGCGCACTCGCTCCAGCGCTCTCCAGCGCTCTCTCTCTCTCTCACTCTCTCTAGGTCTCTCTCTCGTTTTCCTGCACCCTGCTCCTGGCTGGCTCGCTTTTTGCTGGACTGGAGAAGAGACTGAAGTCTTGCGCGCCTCCTACATCCCCGCCCACACGCCAACACGCCCCTAAAATAAAGTCAGTCCCAGCGTGGGGTAGGGAGAGAGAGAGAGGGAGAGAGGGAGAGAGGGGGAGAGAGAGGTGCAGTCGCATATAGCTCTGCTGTGGGGGAAGAGAGTGGCTGAGAGAGAGAGAGAGAGAGTGAGAGGAGTGAAGGAGAGAGAGAGGCTGGGTCTGTTTGCAGAGGCGGATTCTCAGATGGAGCGATTCATACTGACCCTCCCTCTCTCTCTCTCCCTTTCTCCTCTCTCTTTTGCTCTTTCGCTCACTCTCGCGCTCTTTTGCTCGTGCCGTCCTCTCTTCGCTCCTCTGTTACAGCGCTACAGCCAGAGAACCGAGGAGAGCAGAGAGAAAGAAGAGGACAGAGGATGGAGAACAAGGAGCAGAAAGAGAAGAGGAGAAAAGATGACAAGAGAGGAAAAAAGAAGAGAGAGGCAGAAAAGAGGAAATAAGAAAAGAAGGGGAAGAAAAGAGAGGAAAGGAGGAAAAGAGCAAGAAAAGAGAAGATGAGAAGACAGGAAAAGAAGAGAGCAGGAAAGAGGAGAGAAGAAAAGGGAGGAAAGGAAAAGGTGAGATTAGAAAACAGGAGAAGAGGAGAGGAGAAAAGAAGATAAGTAAAGAAAAAAGGAGGGCAGAGAGGAGCAGAAGAAAGAGGAAAAGCAAAGAGATAAGAAAAAGAGCAGAAAGAAAAGCGTAGGACAGAAAAGAAGAGAGGAGAGTAGAAGAAGAGAGCAAAGGAAAAGAGGAGAGGAGAGGAAAGGAAAGGAGAAAAAAGAGGAAAGAAAAAGAGCACAGCAGAAAAGAAGAGAGGAGGTGGGCAGAAGGAAAAAAAGGAAAGGAAAAGAAAAGATGGGGAGCAGAAAAGAGAAAATGAGAAGAGAGGAAGAGTGGACAGGAACAGAGGAAAGCAGGAAAGGGAGGAAAGGAAAAGATGAGAAAAGAGGAGAAGAGGAGAGGAAGTAAGAAAAACGCAGAGCAAAGGAGAGCAGAAAAGAGAAGAAAGAGGAAAATAGGAGAGCAGAAAAGAGGAGAAAATAGAAGAGGAGAAAAGGAAATGATAAGAAAGAGGAAAAGAGGAGAGCAGAAAAGAGGAGAAAAGGAAAGAAAAAGAGTAAGACAGAAAAGCTGAGAGGAAAGGAGAAGAAGAGAGCAAAGGAAATAAGGAGAACAAAAAAGAGGATAACAGAGGAAAAGACAAGAGAGGAAACGAAAAGAGAAGAGGAAAGCAGTGTGCATGCGGGGAGAATAGAGGAGCATGTGAAAGTCAGCGGTAAAGACAGGAGAGAAGAAAAGAAAAGGTTACTATAATAAGAAAACAGGCAAGAAGATCCTAATGGATCTGACTGTGATGTAAGCTGGTACTAGATCAAACCCTGTTTAATACAACCTACAGAAATAACCTACAGCACAGCGTGATCAGTGATCCCTGTTATGGAAGTGGATTGTGTCCATAAACTCGCTCCTCCCACAGCTCTTAATGTAGTAGTGGAGTAATGGGAAACAGGGGGGCGTTAGTCTGAAATGATGCCAGAGTAAATGAATTAAACTCAGAGCGAAGAAAATGTTTCTGTGACTGTTTAATTCTGACATCAAGACTGCTTTAAACTCTGATTATGAGTTTTGATGCAAACTCAAACAAGCAAAAGACACTCATCTTATTTACTAACCATTAAAATGTGCTTTTTTCATTGTTGACTCCTCTTGGGTGGCTCATTCGGATTACTATTTGGATTATCATTATTCTTTTTACAAACTTAATATTTTTTTCCCAAAGAAAATAGATTTTTTTTTTTCAAAACTATAACATGACCAGTTAGCAGCTATGTGTATGTCACGAAATGGGTTTAAACCTATCATGGCTCAATATACTAAAACATGCTAATGAGTGAGAAACGATGTGGTAACCGTAAGCTTTTATCTACAGAACATGTGTACTTGTGTTTCTGTGACGTGGACAGTGCAGTTAGCAATTTACCATGTGAGACTGGCCATAGTTAAATAGCTAAGAACATGACGAAGCAAATCAACTCTGAAAACTGAAGTCCCATTGCGTCTGCCTGCGACAAAAACAAACTTGTTTACTAGCAGTTTACTATTTGCTAACATTAAATGCAGTACAACATTACGTTTGTACAATGGCAACCAGAAATGAGTAAAACTTCCCAGATACATTAACAATTCCCAAACTTGGAAAACTAACTCCAGTGATGAAAACCTGGTTGTAAATGGTTCTTTTCTTTAGAGATTCACTTAGTATATATATATATATATATATATATATATGTATATGTATGTATATGTATGTATATATATTTATATGTTTATGTATGTATATTATTATATATATATATATATATATATATATATATATATATATATATATATAGCTACAAAAAGGGTTCTACTACTGTTACAAGTCAAAAACACATTTTTCAGTACAGCCATTTTTGCTAAGAGTGTAATCTCACAGCATAACCAGGAGGCAGTGGGGGCTTTTGGATAGCAGGAAGGCATAAGGATTTTTCCTTATTTACTCTCAGTTATATGTAGAAGTTTGGGCAGCCCTGGTCAAATTGGAATTTTTAATAGAAAATAAACACACATCTTATTATAGAGAGTAGACTTCTGCACATTTTAATAGACAGTTACTGTTTATTTACTGAATTTAACGTATTAAAATAACACACAAACTCTGGCCTTCATAAAATTTATGGCACATTTTATGTCTATTTATTTAAGTAATGTTTCACCATCTTGGCAGTAAATATGTCTCAGTATGTGCGAATGTACTAGTACAGGCTAAAATATGATATAAATGAAAACGCAGACTTATTTTGACCTGCTTTAAGCTTTAGCTCAGCTATAGCTGCTTTTCTCACATCTCCGACAGGAAACTTTTCCTCGAAAGTAGAATAGCTTCTTTTTACGAGACTGAAGTCGGTTTCTCATTCGCCAGATTCTTGTTTGAATTTTCCCACTCCACCTTAACTCTCAGTCTGAGGTTCCAGAATGTAACTGCTGCACCATTTAAGGTGGAACGGGAAAATTCAAATTAATAACTACAACTTCACGACGTTTTAGTGTTTGACAGTTTTTCATTGCAAATTAAACGTATGAGAAAACCAGCTGGAGTGATAATTAATGCTAGCAAGTCCAAATTATCAAATTAAATCTTTCTCTTTGCCGTTTCGTTAGATACTATCTCTGCAATTGTGTAAAATGTGTTAGAACTGTCAGCAGAGCTTTATTTTACTGCAAAGGAGGATTATTTTCATTTTTACCTACAAATCAAATTCTGTTCAGGCTCAGAAGTCCCATATTGCCGACCGCTGGCCTAACTGATGGAAAAGCTTGCTTGACTGTGTCTTGTGGGGGACTGTATCCTTTCGTTTCCAAATAAAAAAATATAAGAAAATTACTACTGCAGAGCATAACTACAACAAGCATGATGATTCTATTAGCTAAACTTAAAATTGACTAAAATGAACTACAGGGGTGACTGTTTTAGAATCCCACAGTGAAAATTACATATGTGTGTAATATATATATACATAAAACATTGGCATTGTTGAATAAGGAGAGTTCAGTACATCAAATGTGTATTCTGGGAACCTTAAACATTGTTGTCTCCTCCCTCAAATACAAATCCATGCAGAACAGGGTGCTAAAATGGGCCAATTTCAACATCCTGAACTGTTACGTAACAGTTTTGGCTCATTAATATTTATGCACTCCAAATTTGCATACACCAGCCCACATTCTAGCCCAGCAAGTATTGAAAAGAACAAAACAAGGACAATGGAGCAACAGCAATGAAAATGGCAGACTGTGCAGAAATGTACTGTTCCAGGCTGTAAAGGGATGTCAGCACTTTTCATTCCCTTCCCAAGGAACCGAACTGTCAAAGACGTGGTTGATATTCATCTTTAAACAAGACTGAAAATGGCTGCCTATTTACCAGCTTCTTAATGTTCCTTTCCACCCTAAATGCTACAGCTTGTACTGGGCCAGAATGTGACTGCAGCACCATTTAAAGCAGCATTATGTGAGAATGTTTTTTGCTCCTTGGTTCCTCTTATAGTTGCAGTGTGTATCTCCCTTGTACATCACTGCCGTGAATACAGATCACACTGTGAGGCCCCTAATGGACACGTGCATTTGTTGACGAGCTGTAGGATACAGAGACCCCTTTGCATGTAGATGCTACAGATTACACTCAATACCTGAAATTGTGAGTGTAATCTGCGGCATCCATGTGCCAATGTGATGTGCATGCACTTAGGGCAGTTGGATTCTGCTGGCAAGACAGAATCTGGCACAACACCGGCAAAGACAACAAAGAAAAAGAACCATGTCGACTTAAAAGGTAGAGTAATAATACAGGATTTTATTACAGAAGGTTGCAAGCTTTTAAGGCTTATTTGGTGTGAGATTGGCAAAGACTGACCAAACCTTCTGGTGTGAGGTAAATTTATTTCTTTGCATGCTAGTTTGACATGGGACTGGGAGTGAGGTTAGATGACTTTTGGCATCTGGAAGAACTAGAAAACTCTGTGAGACAGGGATAACACAGATAAAGTTACAGCCTACGCTGCAATCTTTCATTAAACACTCTTTCATGAACACTCTGCTGATGAATTCTCATTGTTTTCTTGTTAGCTGTGAGACTCTCTTGCATCCTTTTATTTCTTTTAGCTCTCACCAGCAAGTAAAAGCCAGTACGATATTTAGTCCAGTCTCTTCCTCAGTCACTCTTTCCTTTTCTCTTCTTGACATCCCTAAACTTGCAGAATGTATCTTACTTTTACATCACTGTTGTGAATACAGATCGCGCTTCCCTGTCTTCTTCTGCTTTTGGCAGCCTCTGCCATGATGTCCATACTGGGAATACTGAGCTAGCTTCTTATAG